GAAAAGGAGAAAAACACGATCCTTATGGATCCGCAGAGCAGGCCGGTGAGTAATGAATCCACATGGCCTTGAGCTGGCACCTGTGTGTGTGTGTGTGTCTGTGTGTGTGAGTGCGAACGCGCACGCGTGTGTGTATGTGTGTGTGTGTGTGTGTGTGTGTGTGTGTGTGTGTGTGCGCATGTGTGTGTGCGCGCATGTGTGTGTGTGTATGTGTGTGTGTGTGTGTGTGTGTGTGTGTGTGTGTGTGTGTGTGTGTGTGTATGTGTGATGTAATAGTATGTGGAGATCCATGCAGTGTGTGCTTGCATATGTGTGTGTTTCTGCGCGTGCAGGTGTGTGTGTATGGGGGGGGGGGGGATATTTTATGCAGTGAGTGCGTTAGATTATGCACGCGAATCGATTCATGAATCGATTCGCGCTATTTACATCACCCCATGTGAATAGCGTGAATGGATTCCGAATCGATTCCAGGGCTCATGACATGAAATCAAACGACTTGAATGCACTTGAATAGATTCATGAATCGATTCAAGTGTGTAATCGAACGCACTTAGTGTGTGTCCGCATGTGTGTGTTTGTGTGTGTGTGTTTGTGTAATAGTGGCGGTCAATTCTTCAGCCTTCCAAGTTGTTGAATGGTGCAATCCCAGCACAAGCTGCTATGGCTTCTGCTGTAGCATCGCTATCATCGCCTTCGGTGATGGGCGTCCAATGGTCCAATGGTGTGTGTGTGTGTGTGTGTGTGTGTGTGTGTGTGTGTGTGTGTGTGTGTGTGTGTGTGTGTGTGTGTGTGTGTGTGCGAGGGGGCTGGGTGCGTTTATATGCCCGTTTGAAGTGGAAAGAGGAGAGGAGGCGTGTCTGTGCACATGTGTGCATATGACATGGTTTTCTTTGGGGGGAGGGGGGGGGGGGTATGAACCACACGAATACAAGATTCACAGTCAATCACGTGGCGTACTTTCATAACATATTTTGACAGGTGGGAAACTATTTTCTATTGATTTAGTCATTATAATTATTGTGTGGCTTTGCTTTGATTGCACCTGCTCAGATGCCGTGTCATCGTCAAGCGAATTTCAGTACAAATTTTACTTCAGACTGTCCACGTTAGTTCTGGCTTTGGCAATCATTCTCACTCTGGCATGCCAGACACGGCGGCAGCCTCAGCCAACGGGGCTCCCGTGCCATGAGTACGTAGAGATGCAGTAACCATGGTGACAACAATAGCAGCAGCAGCAGCAAGAGCAAGAGCAGCAGCAACAGTAGCAGAAGGACAAGCAACCTCACCATCCGGACAAGCAACTTCACCACCCGGACAAGCAACTTCACCATCCGGACAAGCAGCAGGACAAGCAACCTCACCATCCGGACAAGCAGCAGGACAAGCAACTTCACCACCCGGACAAGCAGCAGGACAAGCAACTTTCACCATCCGGACATGCAGCAGGACGAGCAACTTCACCATCCAGACAAGCAGCAGGACGAGCAACTTCACCATCCAGACAAGCAGCAGGACAAGCAACTTCACCATCCGGACAAGCAGCAGCTGCAGCATGGCAGTAGTGCAGACTACAACATTGAGATAGGACACGTGCAGCAACCGGAGCAATGCCCTCCAAACCATGGGCCAGTTCAGAGAGCAAGCGAAGAGACAGTCCCAGCGCAGCCGCTATCACAATGCCAAAGTGATGATTCTACCGTTGTAGGGACAACACGGACAAACGGGGAACATGACCCGGATGACAGTAAAGCATCAGGGACAGCAAACCTATACTAGCAATCTTAGTAGAACTGACATGCACTGCTCTGCCATGCACTGCTCAGTTCAGCTCAGTAGCATGCAAAAGCATCGGTGCCACACAATGATACCGCTGTCACAAACTTGTAACCCGACTATGCTCTTTGAAGCTTTTTGCATGCCACAGATTTGTCACAAGTAAGTAGCGTGAACAAGAATAGTGTACCTTCCTTGTAGCTTTGGCATGATCATAGCAACTCCCAGCACAGAGCCAAACTAAGTCATTGGCTACACTGAAAAATGCTCCAGTCTCTCCAAATCTTCGTATCATCATGGATATGGTTTCACACTTGAGTAACGTGTTGGGAGTTCCAGACTAGAATACTGTGGTCGTGCACAGTAGTCACCGCCCGTTACTCGCACATGGGACGTGTGTGTGTGTCTGTTTGTGTGCGTGTTGTGTGTATGTGTGCGTGCGTGTGTGTGTGTGTGTGTGTGTGTGTGTGTATGCATGTGTGTGTGCGTGTTGTGTGTATGTGTGCGTGCATGCGCGTGTATGCATGCGTGTACTCTCCGTTGCATACACACATGGTTGAAACACCATTGCATAGGGCACACTACTAGTCACACGGACAGTCACACCCTGCATCAAACCAAAACCCATTCTCGTTCAGCCAAACCAAGCCGCGCGCGTCTCAGCCCATGCTCTGGGAAATGAAGTACTAGTACCGTAGTGTTCATAGGAAAAGAAATATTCCGGTGCATTTAAATCAGACGAATAGTGCTGAGAAAACATCACACCATTTATCAGACAAATAGAAACGGGGCAATTCCGCCATGGGCAGCACAGACAATGACAGAGGCGTCAGCGGCATGGAACCACTCCAACCTACAAGGTGCTAGCAGAAGCGGTATAGATTAGCAAATAACATACAAGATATTGATTTGAAGCAAACCAGCAGAAGAAATAGCACAGGATCCCACTCACGCTTGCTACAAATAAAAGAGCAACGAAAACAAGATACGTACAAGAAAACCAGGCAGCATGCCGAATGGAATTAACTTTTATTATCTGCGACTGGTGTTGAGTTTCTCTTGCCAATGTGACTTATTTGGTTCAAACTCCATGCCCACTCACCCTGGAATGGTACCTGCAGGAGCAAAGACAAGTCGGAAGAAGTTTCACAAACACTCTGGTTGTCGCAGTACGTGCGAATGCCGGACGGTCAATATTCGAATACATGTTACGAGTGCAATTTGAATTTACAGTATTAACAATTTGTCTTTACGTCGCACTCTTACCTAAGGTATATCCCAGGAGCGATAGGGTCCATGTCCTATTGCCCATAGCTAAGTTATAGGTATAGTAAATATTTGTAGTAAAGTAGCTTGACACATAACTAGCTTCGCTCTATATTGTTGTTCTGAAATGAATTTCATGTCTCTAATTATTTGATCTCTTTGATAGAACGGTCGATTTATTCGAACTGCATTTTCATGATTTATTTATTTACCTTTTCGCATGTACGCACTGGTCGCGCTCCAGTGCAGACGCCATCTTAGCGTCGATACGCGATCGCTCGGATCGCTGCGATGCGCTTCCCAAACTGGCTGGCTTTTGCGCACAACGAAATCTATTCTTGATTTCTCATATTTGTACACAGTACGCTGGCACGGCATGTGTACGCTGCCGTGCGAGCGAAGCCTTTTTTCGAGCGCTCTGTTGTAGTGCTTCGTGTCCTTCTCTCGGTTGTTTTCTTTCCAAACAGTACTCTCTTTATGTGGTGAAAGAAGAGTAAGAACGAACCAGGTCTCTCTCCCTTCGTGAAGTTGTCGCGGCAGCCGCTGGCCAGCTGTCCGTGACGGAGTGTGCATGCTTTGTACTAAGTGAAAGTGAAGTTTTACCACACTGGTCCTCCCTCACATGCACACAAGCACCCACCCACCCGTCTGTCTGTAGCCTGAACCAGGGAGTAGTGAAATGCCGGTATTTTACTACTCAGCCTGGGTCGCATTTCACCGAGCGCAACTATACCTTTTTGTACGCATCCGCCCCAGGCCACAGATGGGTTCAAAGTGACGGGGCGTTCTCACAGGATTTCAGTCACCGTTTCTATTGGAATACATTCTCAGCCGGGTATAATTTGGGTATAATTTATCACACATCCACTGTACTTCGGTGTTTGTCCTTGGGCATATAGCTCAGTGGTAGAGCATTCGACTGCAGATCGAGAGGTCCTTGGTTCAACTCCGAGTGTGCCCTGGCTTAACTTTTTTTTTGTGGTTGTGTTGTGTTTGTGAGAGGGACGGCTGGGTAGAGAATTTAAGGCAGAGAGTGGGTTCGGGTAGGTGTCCCGGTTTTTTTGTCGGCCCTGAAACGAACATAATTCGTTTGGGTGGAGAGGTTGCGAGCCAAAATCGCAAGTCGACCGACACTGTACACTGTACATGCACATGCATGCGACTTTCGTCGTCGAGCATAGCAAGCTGCGTTCGTTTCAGAGGCAGGGGAGGGGTCCGAGTACGAAATGAACAAAGTTCGCTTCAGGGACGACAAACAACTTGTGCGACGACCCTGAAGTCGCTACACATCTAAGTTTGCATTCCACTGCCATTCGGAACAACCTCGCTACAAGAGCGGGAGAGGCGTAGTATTCGCACAATTACAAAAGAACATTACAATACATATTGTGCATTGGCCAGTTGCAACACATCCGTTTGGTTGCGCCGGCGTACGCATTGAAAGTAAGGGGTTTCACAATTTTCATTCTGTTAGGCTTCTACCACTTACATGGAGTGTGCCAAGGTTCATCTCCCTAATGCTTCTTTCACTTAGCCTTGTTGGGTCCAGCTGCGACCGTATTGCCTGCAATAGTGTTGAACACACACACATTCATGCACGCACGCACACACACACACGCACGCACACACACACACACACACACACACACACACACACACACACACACACACACACACACACACACACACAATAAATACAAGCAGAGTGTATTTACTTCGCTGTGAGTACTGTCACAGCAGCTGCAGGGATGCACAGTATGAATACGCCATTGTACGCGCATGCTTAGGTTGGCATAATTATACACATTCGCACAAGCACAATGCACATACACCCACCTTTCACAGTACTCTGCCAACCCAGCCAAAGCAAATCCCTTAGTCACACTCCCAGTTTCCCTTAATTTTCTCTCATTTCCCTTATTTTCCTGGTTTTCACCAATTTCGGCCATTTTCTCTTTTTTTGGGCAATTTTTGATTATTTTGCATATTTTCCGCAATTTTTTGGCAATTTTGTTCTTTCTTTTTATTCATTTCTAACCCATTGCTAACCCATTGGGTTGGTCAAAGACCATGATTGAGATACGAGAGGTACCTGGTTCAAGTCCTGCCTGGGAGCGGTTTTTCCAGCCGTGCTGCTACCCAGTCAACTGGGAACTTGTGGCCAGGCACAAGGGGTACATGGATGCAGCTAATGGGGTTTCTCGGCACTTGTGCCAGTGGTTGTGAGACTTATCCACTCACCCCCACCGTTAGGCGCTGCATCTGCCGCTAGGGTTCACCGGGTGTTAGTGGCCGTCGTGAGTTCCCTTCGGGAACGGACATGATACTGAGAATTGTTTTTTTTCCTTTTACAGTGAAACCTGTGACTACCGACCACCCCTTGGTGCCAGCAAAAGCGGTCTTTAGTAGCAGGTGGTCTTTAGTTAGAGGTTTGCACCACGCGACCATATATGGATCCCATTACATTATATGTATATCAAAATGCAGCTAATACAATTCCCCAAGACTTGCGCAATACCATGCTTATTTCAGGTCAAACAACACTTAGAGAGAAAGACGGAGAGATGGAGAGAGACAGAGAGAGAGAGAAGATTTTTTTGCAGACATCAAATTCAGCTCCTACTTCTGAAGCCAGGAGTCAAACGTTCCCTGTGGAAGTTTCGTTTTGCACTGGGCTTCAAATGTTTTCATGCGATCAATCGTACCGACTGTCCTTGTTGCGAATTCTCGATTGCTTGAACGCGATCCTTCAGCATCAGGACCTTGCGGTGCTGCTTTGTTTCTGGATTCCTTGATGCCATCGTTGATTAACGATTCGTCCGTATGACTGGGGTGACAGACTCGCTCAGTCTTCGTTCTTTCTCCGAGTAGTAACATCGATCAGAGAGCGCTTTTGATGCGCTCTCCAAGACGTTAAATGTCATGTTCATTCTTTGCAGCACTTGAAATTCTGACAGGTGTAGTGCAGTCCACACCGACACCACAGTCAAAATGACCTACGTTCATTTCTTCAGCTGTGGTATCGAAAGATTCCTTTCAGGACCACGGAAAATCATCAAAATTTCAAGAAGGCGCTTCGAGCAACATTTGATTTCCTACATCGCGGTCGCTAGTTACGGGTCAAAAATCCTCTTTGGGACGAGAAAAGGCGGAAGGCTGGTCGCGTTCAGCAGGTAGTCGCTAGTCACAGTGCATCTTGAATGTGGGACCGTCCGTGCCTGGCGAAATGGTCTGTAGTACCAGGCTGGTCGCTAGTCACGGTGGTCTTTAGTTACAGGTTTTACTGCAGTACCAGGCTGGTCGCTAGTCACGGTGGTCTTTAGTTACAGGTTTTACTGTAGTACCAGGCTGGTCGCTAGTCACGGTGGTCTTTAGTTACAGGTTTTACTGCAGTAGCAGGCTGGTCGCTAGTCACGGTGGTCTTTAGTTACAGGTTTTACTGTAGTACCAGGCTGGTCGCTAGTCACGGTGGTCTGTAGTTACAGATTTTACTGTAGTACCAGGCTGGTCGTTAGTCACGGTGGTCTTTAGTTACAGGTTTTACTGTAGTACCAGGCGGGTCGCTAGTCACGGTGGTCTGTAGTTACAGGTTTTACTGTAGTACCAGGCTGGTCGCTAGTCACGGTGGTCTTTAGTCACAGGTTTTACAGTAGTACCAGGCTGGTCGCTAGTCACGGTGGTCTTTAGTCACAGGTTTTACTGTAGTACCAGGCTGGTCGCTAGTCACGGTGGTCTTTAGTTACAGGTTTTACTGTAGTACCAGGCTGGTCGCTAGTCACGGTGGTCTGTAGTTACAGGTTTTACTGTAGTACCAGGCTGGTCGCTAGTCACGGTGGTCTTTAGTTACAGGTTTTACTGTAGTACCAGGCTGGTCGCTAGTCACGGTGGTCTGTAGTTACAGGTTTTACTGTAGTACCAGGCTGGTCGCTAGTCACGGTGGTCTGTAGTTACAGGTTTTACTGTAGTACCAGGCTGGTCGCTAGTCACGGTGGTCTTTAGTTACAGGTTTTACTGTAGTACCAGGCTGGTCGCTAGTCACGGTGGTCTTTAGTTACAGGTTTTACTGTAGTACCAGGCTGGTCGCTAGTCACGGTGGTCTTTAGTTACAGGTTTTACTGTAGTACCAGGCTGGTCGCTAGTCACGGTGGTCTGTAGTTACAGGTTTTACTGTAGTACCAGGCTGGTCGCTAGTCACGGTGGTCTTTAGTTACAGGTTTTACTGTAGTACCAGGCTGGTCGCTAGTCACGGTGGTCTGTAGTTACAGGTTTTACTGTAGTACCAGGCTGGTCGCTAGTCACGGTGGTCTTTAGTTACAGGTTTTACTGTAATACCAGGCTGGTCGCTAGTCACGGTGGTCTTTAGTTACAGGTTTTACTGTAGTACCAGGCTGGTCGCTAGTCACGGTGGTCTTTAGTTACAGGTTTTACTGTAGTACCAGGCTGGTGGCTAGTCACGGTGGT